GTTGTAACATAAGAAAGGAAATCTGCTCATTGATAACGTACCAGACATTGTGCCAGACAGTGATAGCCTATTTTCAAAACGGCAGCGTAAAGGAAAAAAAAAAAAACAACCAAAAAAAAACAACATGGCTTCAGAACCACTGCTCAGATCCTGACGAGCCAAGCCGAGTATTGATCCATCTGGCTCTGAAGACACTGTCATGTCACCTTTGCATTTAAGTGTTATCTTGTCAGCTTCAAATGATCTAGCTGTCAGATCTGGAGAAAGCTGGCCTGCGTGATGTTGCTTTGTCTCTAATGTCCAGCTGTTGCTGTGCCGGTCTGTGCCAGGAAAGAATATTTGAATCCCGTGTTTATTCTGTTTTTAAATGTTGATTTGCCTAATCTGCTCATATGCAACGACTTAGTCACGTCTTTATAATTTTCCAGGTTGTGTGTCTGTGCACCTGTGTCACCGTGCAACGTGCGTTTGTGTAATGCCATCAAATTCCACATAATGTGTGACAGTTGATTCTTACAGCCACCGTTTCATTCAGTTTCCATTTCCTTTCCTAGCGTCACCCATTCTCTCAGATAATTAAACAGACAACTTACAGTGAATGTTATAAGAAGCTCCCTAGCAGCAAAAACTAAGTGTAAATTGCTTCAAAATTGATTCCCCTTTCCCTCCCCCAACAGATGTAACTGATAGTTAAAGGGTGGGAGCCAAGCTTCTTGGTGAAAGGGCACAAACTCTTTCAACCAAGGTGTGGTAACAGGGTGAAAATTTGAAAGTAAATTCCCTCACTGATAATGTATCCTACATCCCACTAATGATAGCACACCCACTGTATTGTGCTCACAGCACTAATTTCCTTGTTTTCACTCACATACGCTGCAAATGTTTTTCCTCTGTTCTATGATTTATCTTTTCCTCCCCCCTCCTCATATATGAATCGGTGTTCAGTGTCCAATTTCTAATTTAGTCCCTGTGTAGTGGCTTAGTTTGCCGGTCATTTAAGGAGTGGATCAGTTCCTAAAAAGCTTTTGGAGATGCTGCAGGCCAGTGAGTGTGTTGGGCTGCTATAAAGGCAACAGTAGGACATCGGCCAGTAGTTCACACTTGTTGGAGCACACTGGTGAGGCTGTGAAGATGGATTCGGTCTTGATTATAAGGTACTGTTTGTATTTCTCATCTTTTAATCAGTGTGAAATATTCACGCTGCATCCTTTTCTCTTCTCTACATACTATTCCCGCACCATGCAGTGATCTGCGGAGATGCAGGTGTATGGTGTAAACAACAAAAGGGAAAATCTAATTGATCACTACAGTTCTTTCTTTCTGAACATCGGCAAAGTTTGACAAGAAAACCAACTGGTTTCCATGTGTTTGTTTGTGACAGCCTAGATGTGAGTGGTGGAGACATAAATCATGTCGGATTTATTTTTCCTCTCAACTTGGAACATAGTTCTCTTCCCCGTAGAATTCAGAACTGATCATTAACCTTTCCTTTAGTTCCTTCCCTTGCCTGGTCACATTTCCTCTTTATTTGGTTCCTGGCCCCATATGCCACTTTCCTATTTCCTGCCTGCAGACAGCAGGGAGTAGCTCTATTATCACCTTCCTAGAGCTGTCTTTGAATGTGAGAGGCAATTCCATTTCACTCAGCCATGGGGAGGAGGAGGAGGAGGATGAGGAGGAGGAGGAAGAAAAAAAAACACGCCATAGAGCACAGAGAAATTGGTTTAGGTTACTTCTCGTAGCTGAATGTAAGACTATTTTGCTTTGTCTTGTTGGATTTCTTAGATTTAGAGACCCTACCATGAAGAGCCCGCAGTGAATGTGCAGGGTTTTTGTTGTATAGTTTTAAATCAGAGCAAAGGTTAAGTGCCGGCTATCATGTCAGGTTATTGTGTGAACAATTTATCGTCAACTCCATTGAGAAGTCATCTTTTGAAATATTAACAATCCCGAAGCATTTATATTCCACTACTGTGAAGCTGTGCTAAAGATATCGAAGATGTCTCTAATGCTTTCCCTCTCAAGTGTGTTCGCTACATTTTGCAGCATTTTACTCGAAGCCTGTGTTATTTTTGGGCTTCCCTAAGTCTTATTCCAGCTTTTATCTGTGCCTAGTTCTTTGGAATGGTAGGGCTCTTGACAATATTGCTCCTGGATAAATTAAACATGAGTTACGTAGAGTGATAATCTGTGGGCCTCTCTTTTCACACTGCATTCCCAATGAGCTGTGTGTTGGCCTGGTGTTGTTGCCTGTGATTTTAATGAAGATTATTCTTGTAACACGACAGTCGCCTGTTTGCTCCTAGTCCTCCCCAAATATTTTCTCTTCAAACCGAGAATTTTGCTTTCTTTCAAGTGATCTGTGCAACATTTGCGCTTTATTTTAAAAGTATTTATGTTGCGGGTCAAAATCATCAGTTTGTCACGGATGTAATTAAAATATTTAGGCACCAAATCACATACCTGGCTGTTGTTTTTGGATTAAACATTCATCATCATGTCAGCGCACTTATCGATTAAACAATACACTGGCAGACAGCTGTGACTGGGTAATTAGTAGGTATTTTCTTCCTGTCTAAGCAGAACTGTACTGTAAAAAGCCAAAGCTTAAGCTGGATTGAAGCCCTCTGTTTTCTTTTGTTCAGATGTAGGTTTATAGTGCTCGAAAAAACCTCAGAGTATTCTCTGAGGAGCAAGTGCACACTTCATGGCATGGCCACTCTTAAGATGGAACTGCTGTTTTATAAATAATTTCAAAGTTACAAACATCAGCCTCACAATCACAGCGATTCAATGATATTCATTTGGCATAAGTCAGTTTCATTTCTCTGTGCTCTTCATCAGAAATGGCTTAAAAAGTAGAGTTAGTGTGAATTTTTTATGCCATGGGCTTAGTGGGGACAGTGGCCATGTTCTTCACTTGCAGACGTCTGACAGTGCATGGCAGCAGAAATAACAAAATGGTCACAAACCCCAACTGCACTCCCTGGGTCACACCGGCTCTTTAAAATTTAAAGAGACTAGCAGGAAACCAAACAGTTGATAACAGGTCAGTAGCAGGTGATAAAAGAAGTTTTGGTAGGGACATTAGCCCTTCCGCTAACTTTGTGTTTCCTGACATTAGATCCATGCAATTTGCTTAGCCAAATAATACACATCCGAGAGCATGAAGGAGCTGTGGGCATTGCTCTCAGGGATTGCAGTACCCTGAGGAGTGCAGTGTTTCACAAGTGCTACTTTGCTGCAGAATTGGTATTAGACGAAATTCACACATTTATAATTAAGCATATTATCATGACATACTTTTTCCTGTATAGGTTTTGTAAAGGGGAAGCTCAGTTTATGAATCAGATTGTTATTTCAGTGGTGTGCCACACTGTCATTGTCCTGTGACACACACACGAAAAAGAAAGTAATAGATAAATAAATAAATAAAAACTCATGCCAAAGTTAGGAAAAATTCACAAAAAATGTGTGCCTTTAAGACATGAGTAATTGGTAAGTAACTGTGTGAGATGACATATTAATTGTCTGCCACGTGGGACGGTTCATATTCTTATGACCTTGCAAAATATACATGTTAAATAATAAATCTGGATTAGTTGTTTGCAATAAAAAAATAAAACTGCAAATTAATAACTATAAATAAATAAATACACTGTATTAAATAGTATTAAATTTAAGAAACTAGGTAACATAGATTGAAGCTGAAGGAATAAACGGTGTAACCCAATAACAAAATGGGCATTTAAAATGGGAAATGCTGCTGCAGGATTTTAATAAGTTAGAACGATAGAAGGATATGTGCATTTGGTTTAAGGTGAAAAATCCCTATAGTGCAGTTCTGTTATGGTATTATTACTCCACACTGAACATCCTGATCACCTGTCCTGAGGTTAATTTGCTGTGAGCTTTGCGGTAAAGAATCGCGTTTGAGTCTGGTCTGACTGGGCGACCCTTAAAGGACATCAATAATGAGCAGGTGTAGGAGTGCACTTCTGCGTAGACGCGTGTCTCTGTGTGTCCAGGGAGGACGACTAATAAGGGTTTAAAAGCCACAACTGTCCACTCCGCCCCTTAGCAGCCCCCCCAGCTGTCTTTTCTGCCAGAAAGCACCCTGATTCCCTCTGACAGAGCAGATCACTGATGGCAAGAAACCACAGGGGGCAATAGTTATGTTAGCATAGCACAAAGCACCGCCACACTTGATCGGGTTAGTGGCGCTGGTTAATTACAGAGTTAAGGTAAATGCACGTTTCCTGGTTAAACAAACAAAGATAAACAAGCCAAAAAACCACAGTAAAAATAATAAACGAAGTCTTTGACTTTGATTTATTGATGGAAACTGCAACGTGACGTCTAGCAAACAACATATAAATAACTTAAAGTCCATCTTAAATGCATTCCCATGAAATTTTTAGTGCTGCTGTAATATAAGCCACTACCTGTCATGAATCCCAAATAACCTTGGCTCTATCCTCTTAGTTCATCCCAGTGTGCCTCATTCCTTATTACTGGCCTGACAAGGAAATGTTTACCCATCCGACAAGAGACAAGCCATTTCATAGTCAGAAAAAGCAATTTCACCTGACTGGAGTAGCACACTATGTCCCCATATCCTTGCTGGCAATAATTTTGTTGTCATTTTGTGTGCTGTGGTCATATCATTGAAGTGACAGTGCTGGGCATTAGGTAAAGTCCCTAAGCTGGTGCTCACTTTCAGGCTTTTTCTCTCCTTGTCATTCACATTGATTGGATTAGACCCAGGTGGCAAGCAGATTCTTTTGGCACAACAATAAAAAAAATGGTGATGTAGTGGCTGAAAAACACACAGATATTGTTTTTTTATTTTGCTGAAATTAATATTGTTATGTGGAAAACATATGCTCTTTAGAATTAAATGGATATATACTTCTTCTTCTTCTTCTTTTAAAAAATTTTTTTTTCATTGTATTGAAGGCAGTTTGTGTTTGAGGGGTTTTTTTTGTCTTTGATTTATTTTATATGGGTGATATAATACAGATACAGCCGTTATAATATTATTTGAAAATTGAAAAGGCATAACTGCTGTTCACACTAGATTATGCTCAGCTGGTCAATGGAGGGTGTGTACAAGGCAGGGAGCCGAGATCCTAACCTGCTCTACATCTCCCTGAGGGACAATGCTGGCTATGGGCATGACAAATCAGCCCCCTCCTCTTTGGTTATGTCCACTAGCTAGCTGAGCCAATAAATAGATGACTTAATCTGATAAACAGGCAGTGCATTACCTAGGGAAACACAGAGTTGCTGCATGGGTGATTCAACAATTGGCTTGTTGAGGGGGGGAAGGAAGCCCACTTTGCTTATTAAAGATCAGCGATGGAAGTGAACCATAATCCTGTAATGAGTAGAGCAGAGAGTGGCCTCTTTTCCTTGGGCACAGGCAAGCCCGTGCTTGCATGTTTCACAGGAATAGATTGTTGGAACCAGTAGCCTTTCTGTAATGACCCCTCTTGTTAGCTTCAGAAATTCATAGCTCTTCATTAGAGATACGAACTGGTGGCTGTGTTCACCAATGCAACGGGCCTTTATTGGTCTTCTCTTTAGCTTCCACACAACACTGCAGTGTAACTAAACCAGAAGTTACTCAGTGAAGTAGAAATGATCAACGGAGGCAGTTAGTGATATTGTAATGGGTTCCTTGATAGTTAGTGGTGTTTCTTATCATCCACGAGAATCACCTGGTAATAATAATGCGATTAAACGGAAGTGTAAAAGTTGCCAGTGTTGAATCGATGCCTTTCGGACAGAGGATAACCTTCACAATGACACACCGTGGCTCTGGTGAACAGTGAAGTGGAAAGTTTGAAATTCAGGACAATTTACAAAGGCCTCGCAATCATAGGAAATGTATATGCGAGGAAATGTATATCAAACCACTCCCTTTGAACAGCGGTAGTGTTAACTTGGTAATAACCTTGTTAGTAAGTTAAGCTGGGAGCCATGCTGCAGCTGCTCTCTTTGCACCGGGGACTGAGCCACTGTAACTTGCGGCTATCCTAACACTTAGTTCCATCTTCTCAATCAGGACTGATTTATTTTACTGCGCCGGGGGGCTTGGTGCATTTTCGAAGTGGTCTGATTAACAATCATTTCTATTTTAGAGTTTATTTATTCTCTATCTGCTGTCGATATTCTCAAACTTACTGTCAGTTATCTCAGAGACCTGCACCCTCCTGAGATCAAATTTATTCTGTCTTTAAATATATTTCCCGAGTAATTAGATTTTACAACTCGGACTTAATGTTTCTCCCATCTCCTTCTTACGCTTGCTTTCTCAAACGGACAAAAATTAAATTAACTAAACTGCATAATGCTAATTTCTACTCAAAACTCCGAGTCCTACTTTGTGTCTCTCTGGCAGTGAGCTGTGTTTGGCACAGCAGCCCCTGTTACCAGTGCACGGGTTCATAACTTTAGTGCATAAAATATTTACCAGGACTGGGACTCATAAACACATCTTCAGTGGGACGCCATGATTTCACGCTATATCACAAACATTTTAAGGCATCAGATGCACCGCCTGTCATGGACTGTCATTTTTGGCGTGTTAATAATATATCTTGGTTTCTTCGGCAGACATACTTTGGCACTCATGGCACATAAATAGGTAAATAACGTGGATAAAGGTAAATAACGCCGCTGTCGTCACAGCTGACAGCAAAAACAATCTTCATAACTATGATATATCTTTTTTCTATTTTTTTTTTGGTTTATTTTTTGTTTATTTCATATACTGCTAAAAAGGAGTCTGTCTCCATATGTTTTATTCAAATATAGGCCCATGTCACACTACAAACAAATCACTTTGCTCATAGCGCTCTTCTTATCGTCCTAATTAAGAGCTGTCTAATTAAATTACAGCCCTGAGTTAACCAATCGCAGTACTTGTTTCATTAGCAAAGCAGCGAGAGTGATGGAAAGAAAATCCTTCCTGATTGCAGGATGGTGTCAATTGGCTAATTTGCTGCCTTCCGTAACTCAAGTCATCGTAAGGCGTTTCGTAGTGTTAGATTAGGAAAGGCGTGTGCAAAAGCTTGTGATATAGGTTGAGCTAATAGTAGCTTCCTATTGAGCTATGCAGGTCGAGAATTGCATCTCGCCGGCGAGTGATCTCTCCAAGAAATTTATGAATGTGGGCAGTGGCTTTTCGAGCTCCAATGGATCAGAGCTTTCGTTGCAGGACCATCCTATTATATCTGCAAGTGACAACCTGGAGAGAAGTTCACCTCTGAAAAAAAACTCCAGGGAGATGACGAATCAGTCAGAGGCAGACAATTTTCCCGACTCCAAGGACGCATCAGGGGACGTCCAGAGGGGCAAACTCTCTCCTGATCTTCACGGAGTCTCTGACATCCGTCATAATTTCGATGGATCTGCAGGAGAAAGGTGCATCTTTTCTCCATCTACCCAGCCGCAGTCAGTCTCAGCAGCTCCCAGTGCCATGTTCCCTTACCCGAGCCAGCATGGACCAGCGCACCCGGCTTTTTCTATTGGAAGTCCCAGCCGATACATGGCACATCATCCGGTCATAACCAATGGAGCTTACAACAGCCTTTTAACCAACACTTCTCCTCAAGGCTACCCGACAGCGGGTTACCCTTACGCGCAACAGTATGGACACACATACCAAGGAGGTGCTTTTTACCAGTTCTCCTCAGCGCAAGCAGGACTGGTTCCGGGGAAAGCGCAGGTGTATCTGTGCAACAGGGCCCTGTGGCTGAAGTTTCACAGACACCAAACAGAGATGATCATCACAAAGCAAGGACGGTAAGTACGCGCACTCGCTTATTTTTTTTTTAGAGGCATGCAACAATATTCGATAATTGTTTGCGTTACTGGAACATTTTTAGATCGAAGTTTAAATGGGCGCGTATTAAGATCATTTTAGATTATTTCCCTGAAAAAACGAAAAAATAATAAAAGCGATAATGAACTTTGTATAATACCAAGGCAAGCTCATTAATAACAAACAAAGAAATAAAACAAAAACTAAATAAAGACGCAAAATGAAAAACTAGAAAAAAATAGAGACATTTTCTAAGCCTGTGTTTCTTTTTTCCCCGCAGACGAATGTTTCCATTTTTAAGCTTCAACATTTCTGGCCTTGACCCAACTGCCCACTACAATATATTTGTGGATGTAATACTCGCCGATCCAAATCACTGGCGATTTCAAGGAGGAAAGTGGGTGCCTTGCGGAAAAGCAGACACGAATGTCATAGGTATCACATCTGCGCTTTGTAACGATTACATTTACTCGACAGTTTGATTTTGAGAACATGGTAAAAAAAAAAAGTGTTTTGTTTTTATACCTATAACTAAAATATGTGGTAAAAATTGTGAATGAAAATTTGTGAGGAATTTGTTTCTAAATAGTGATATATATTTTTACTTCTTTTCTTTGCCTATTTTTTCTTCTTCTTTTTAATAGGCAATAGAGTTTACATGCACCCGGATTCGCCAAATACCGGTGCGCACTGGATGCGTCAAGAAATATCATTTGGAAAGCTAAAGCTCACAAACAACAAAGGTGCCTCCAACAACACGGGGCAGGTAACAATGTGATAAGAAATGTCTGAATGATATAAATATATATTTATATGTAATACGAGCTGGAAACTGAAATGTTTATTTTTTCCTTTTTATTCATCTCCTGATTATTATTTTTAGATGTGTCGTATTGCTTTCTCTGTGTCATTTAATTCGAAACAATAGTCGCGTGTGTCATTATAATAAACACGAAATATGAATACACAATTGTGCTAAATTAGTTTATTTTTCTTCTCAAATCATCTTTCCAAACTTTGAAATTCAAAGTCTGACAAACGTCTTTAATTGGATCTCCAGATGGTGGTTCTTCAGTCTCTCCACAAGTACCAGCCCAGGCTCCATGTGGTGGAAGTAAACGAGGATGGGACAGAAGACACCAACCAGCCAGGAAGAGTCCAGACTTTCACCTTCACAGAAACGCAATTCATCGCTGTCACAGCTTACCAGAATACCGATGTAAGACCACTTAATATCTGACACAACACTGGAAATGTCACCAGACACCAACCGCACAGCAGCATTTATACTTTGAACATTAGCCTGTTGAAAGACGATTCAAAATATCGGGAATTCTACTATATATATATATACTTAAAAAACAAAGTAGAACAATAAAGTTTTAATACGAATACAATTTTTTAACCTAAATCTTAAAGCAAGACGCACACTGGGATTAATAATTTCCTGTTGACAAACACATTTTCGCGTAAAAACAAAGAACAAAATTAAACGAATTGTTAATATTATTTGCATTTATGCTGCACTGCGCTAAACGTCTGGAACACACCTTATGGATCCTTCTATGCATTTCCCCCCACAGATTACGCAACTGAAAATTGACCACAATCCGTTCGCTAAAGGATTTCGGGACAACTATGACACGTAAGATCGTCTCTCTTTCTCTCTTTTTCCTTCCTTCAAAATATCTTCTTTGTTTTTGGTTGTAATTTGTGTGTGTGTGTGTGTGTGTGTGTGTGTGTGTGTGTGTGTGTGTGTAAGTGTGTGTGTGTGAGTGTCTTTTTATGCTTCTGTAGTTTTAATTAGAAACTATAATAGCCACTTAGCTTGGGTTTTTTCTTTGTAAAAATTTAATTTATGTATTGATAATTCTGTTGAAAATTCGTTGTATTGCTTTTGAAGTTGGAAGGAGTTCGCATGATAAATAAAATATGTACTTTTACAGGGAAAATTAATTGAACATTGGATTAATAATAACATTTCTGACTGCAAATGAAGCAATGCGTTTTTCTTTTATCATAACACACACCATAACACACACATATGCACTTGTTTGCGTGTAATAAATGTGCGCAATTGCGTCCAGAGCTCGTAACTGTACCGATTCACTGTATGTATGACAAGGTTCCTCCTTTATTTGATTTGAGCTTGTTTTTCATTGTAAATGAAAGGCGTACTAATGAGTGACGAGAAAATGAAAATCATACTCGAAACAAGGAAATAACTACACGATAACTGAGAAAGCAAGTCGGATCTATTTGACGACGTTTTCTTCGTACTGTGTAAGGCACCCGGCGTATTTCGAGCTTGGATCTAGACTGGGATGGTTTTGCAGATGTTTTCGAACCCTGCAGTTATCTCACCTTCAGAAAGAATAATGGAAAACAAACTTTCCTCATGTCTATTAAACTGCTACATTACTGAAACAGAGAGGCCCCGTTGACCTTAATTTGTTTAATGTTCTGAGAACAGACTACAACACACTGTTTAGTTTCTGAATTGCTTCTCTGTTTTTCTCTCCATCTTTTCAGTGTCTACACAGGCTGCGACATTGACCGCCTAACTCCATCACCGGGTGACTCTCCGCGTTCACAGATCGTGCCGGGTGCGAGATATGCCATGCCTAGCTCTTTCCTGCAGGACCAATTTGTCAGCACTTATGCCAAATCTCGCTTTCACCCTGGCGTGGGGACTGGGCCTGGCACGGAGCGCAGCGTCCCACTCGGCAACAGCTTGCTATCCCCGCAGCAAACCGAGGAGCCCAGTGTTGCCACCCCCCCGCAGCGATGGTTTGTCACCCCTGCCAACAACCGACTGGACTTTGCTGCCTCGGCATACGACGCCGCTGATTTTGCCGGTAACGCGGCCACCTTACTGTCCTACGCAGCGGCCGGAGTGAAGGCTCTTCCCCTGCCGACTGCAGGCTGCTCCAATCGGCCTCTTGGCTATTACGCAGACCCGTCTGGCTGGGGAGGACGCACGCCGCCGCAGTATTGTGGTGTAAATAGTAAATCCAGCTCGGTCTTTTCCTGCTGGCCTACTAACACCATCGGTGGCAGAACAGGCACTAGCTACCTGTCCGAGGAGGGAGACTCCATCACCACAGAGAGATCACCCATCGGCGGCTCGGAGGAGACCAAACCTAAAGACATGACGTCTGAGTCGAGCTGGATTGAGACGCCGTCCTCCATCAAATCCATCGATTCGAGCGATTCTGGTATCTTTGAACAGGCCAAGCGGAGAAGGATCTCACCTTCTGCAACACCGGTTTCAGAGACAGTGTCCCCGTTAAAGTCTGAGCTGCTGACACCGAGAGAGTGTGAGAAAAACTGCACAAAGGACATTGGTTATTACAGTTTCTATCCTCACAGTTAAAACGAAGCAAAGCCTATCTATCTATCTATCTATCTATCTATCTATCTATCTATCTATCTATCTATCTATCTATCTATCTATCTATCTATCTATCTATCTATCTATCTATCTATCTATCTATCTATCTATCTATCTATCTATCTATCTATCTATCTATCTATCTATCTATCCATCCACAGGTTAATCAATAAAAAGTATAAAAGGACTGACATTCACAGTTAATGGCCAAAGTGTAAATTCTTCAACTACAGTTTTGCCATAATTCTTGTTTCCACACTGTTACGCCAGAAAACACTGTAATTATGAAAATAATGTACATAATACTGAACATTTTGGTGATAGTGACTGAATGTACACAGAACAGATAAATGATTCAAAAGTAGTTGTTTAAAAAGAAAAGAAAAGCGGAGCCTCTTCTGTTAAGTAGCCTACACTGTTAGAATTAAAGATATTGAGCATCTGTACATAAATAATGTTCTTGTGTAGCATATACTGGCACAATAATCCTTGTCAGTGACAAAAAATGTGTATTTTGTACTTTATCAAAGCAGTAGGCTACCAGAGGTTTAAATGACGTTACCGATCACTGCTACATTCATAATACATGTGGTGAAAGAAATTATAAATGTTGATAATGTAGACTTAGGGTCTTTTATTTACGTATGTTTTATTTGTACTTAATTTAGCCGGTCATTTTTTTTCGTAGCCTCCATGCTATGCTGTTGTGAAATTCTTCGTATCTGCTGTAATGTGACTGAAACGTAATAAATGATGATATCATCAAGTCATGTTTTATTTCATCACATCCAGTTCAAACAGAATGCGTTTGAAACATACGAAAGGGTTTATTATAATCTGCTATTTTCCACAAAGGCGTCATGTGGATCATCTTTCCAGAATTTCAAAGCGCAGTGCACCGTGAAGTATCTCGTCGCTGAGAGGGCTTCAAGCAGTCAAGGCAGTTCTCGAATATTTAAATCCCACTGTGATCAGCCAGAACACCTCCAATTACATCAGGCTTTAGGTAGGCAGTCCTTTCCCTCATCGGCATTCCCTCCCCACGATGGAAGCCACAGGAAGCTTCCAAAGATATTTATTTTCAGATGGACATCGTGTCCTCTTCTGGATCCATTGATCGGCTCGGGATATGATGAGACTTTCACGGCACAAACTTTACAGCCAAGTAAAATTATAAAAAAAAGAATAATAAATTAAAATTAAATACAACGGAACAAAATGTGAGTCTTTGATTGGCGCTATAGACTTCATCGGTATTCATTTGTTTCGTTGGCCTATTCATTGTCTGACTCAACAGTAAGAGTTGTTCCTACAACATTTGGTTGGATTCGTTTTGCAGCATGTTTGCCAAAGATTGTAGAGTGAAAACTTTTGTTGTTTTTTGGTCATAGTTTCAAACACTGAAAAACTGTGAGGTTGACAAATTCTCTGTTTGGCACCCAAAGGAAATGACACGTTAAAAGAGTCTTGACTATATGTGAAAGTGTGCAGAGGAGCAGAAGACACCAAGAGAAAACAGAAAACAGGCAAACAGGCTTAATAATGAGGTAACATTTTTCTATTTATTGTTTTTTCAATAAACAATAAATAGCACATTTTTCGTTAAATTCCCGTGTAAATGACCCACCATGCTTAATCATGGGATTTTATTGGAATTATTAAACATTAATATCCAGTTTATCAAATTTATATAAGAACAGATACTAATTAAAACGGATGCTGAACAAACTCAGTGTGCACTTAATTGGAATTTGTCGTGTGAAGGAGACGCTCACAGCTGTCAATATGAGATGTGGCATTTAGCTCCTCATACTGTCAGCTCTAGGCCTTCCCTGGGATAAACAGCAGATGGCGATAACTGAATACAGGTTTTATAATCAAACAACTCCTCCAATATGTGGTCCAGAGCTTTTAGGTCACCACAGAGGCAATAAAACCTGTAAGAAAACTCTCTCTTTTTTTCCTCTTCATTTTTTTTCATAAAAAAAAAAAAAGATTGATTCGTTATTTATGAGTTAAGTAAGGGCATCCTGTGAGTTTCCCCTGGATTCAACTACACGTGGATGGTGATCTACACCAGATGGTGGTGCTTTACTATTTTTTGTAGCAGTTAAAAGAACCCATGCTGTTCAAAAGACTCAAATGTTTTCTGCAAGCTCTGACAAACTTGACAAACAGTCTTGTAAACACTGGCCCCGAACACAAGCTGAAGAAAGTACAACAAAAATCACATGCAAACTGTATCTGTTGGCACTGGAGAAAACGCGCTCTCTGCGAAAGCCTGTTCATCTTCACATGTCGTCTACTTTAATACAAAGCAGCAGTTTTGTTTCTTTTAAATCATTTACTCTGTTGGAGGATGACCCACGGCTGAGATGACCCCGTCCTCTAAGAAGGGGTGGGGCATGATGGGTACTTTTATGCCAAAAAGCGATTTTCAGTATTTGCCAAAACGTGATTGCTTGGGTTTAAACTGCTGTAAATGACTTATTGGCTTAAATATGTAAAATATATGTGAAATGTATCCCTCATGAATGATATCAAGTCAGCTTGAGCCACAAACAATATTCTTCTTGCAGCAGAAAGTGCAAATATATGTGTATATATATATATATATATATATATATAAAATGTGTCATGGACATTACAAATGTCTTTTTTAAATTATTATATATATATATATATTTTACAGTGATTTGGCCAAGAAGGTAGCAGAAATTGAAACAAATATGACATATTAAAAAAGAAGATTTTTCAAGTGACCGAAAAGGACTGGATTGGTTCTAACAGTAACACAACAGCACAAGTAATTTCTTTATTTTACATCTAACTCCTCTGTATATCGTGTTCACTAAAGTCTATTCGCCTATTTAAGTAAAACGAATATGAAAAAGCGGAGAAACATCGGAAATCCCTTTTTGGCACAACACCGGGCACAAAACCACAAGCCCCAATGGAAACTATCGTGTATGTTTTTGTTGCTCTTCCACTTGTCCTAGCAGCATATGGACAAACATATTAAATTACAAAATAACATAATATCTTGTATTTATCAAGGTAGGACTTTGACCCGAGTGCCACCAATTTCAACAGACCTAAACAGACTCACAGCTTTTCCTTTTTCTTACGCACATTTCAGGATCCCCCAGAAGACACGTCTCCTTGTACGACGATCTCTCCGGCGAGAAGAAAAAGTAACTCTCCAAATGTTAAATATAAATGATCATCAACGTTATTTTAAATATTTAAATCAACTTGCGACTAGTTTCAGTGTGTAGGCCTAAATCAGTTTCATGCCCGTTTTTTGGTCTTAAGTAAGATATTGTGTAGCGCATGGGGGGAGGGGGCCAGACAGAGCTCACAGTTCTGCTGCAGCCTAAAAATGAAGCTATTCGTATTTATCCATAAAGTACTGGAAGCCACACTGAAACAGGAATATGTAGCCTACTAATTGGACATAAACTGGAAACAAACTGGAGGGAAACAGTTTGATATCTCCTGATAATTGGTGTCTTTCCTCTGTGCCTGAAAAAAAAAAGACAAAACATATTAAGAGTGACGCGTCCGCGTCAGCTGGCAGAGATGCGCGTGGTTTTTATGAACAGGCAGCGCGTCAGAGAAGCGCTAATCATCAGCGAGCTGCAGAGCGGCGATGATATAAACATGTGATAGTAGCTCAGTTACCGCTACACCTGACAGGATTACACGCACCGGAGGTCTCTGCTCCGTCTCTCTGATACGCTGCTCTGCTGAGAGAGGAACATGGATACTGCGGATCAGGGTGCTCAGATAGAGCCGCTGCTGCCATCGGTAAACAGAAACTGATGTCTTGGGACAAATATTTACTAATGTACATTAATATTTCAGGACTAGTGTCAAGTTTAGTGCGTGTACTGCGTGGAGTACTGGTAAAAAAGATGTTGCTAAAAGAGGCAGGAAAAAAAAAGAAATCGGGAAGCAGATTCAAAACGTTTGGCTCTCAGATGGTTAAATAATTAAGTTAACTGTGGAGTTTTGAGGAGCTGTGGTTCACCTGCAGGGATCTACTGAAAGCACGCTGCCACTCCAATCAAGAGGAATGGCAGTATGTCAGCTCGTAATATTTTATTGAATCCATCCTTTTAGTGAGCCAAAATGTAACTTCATCTCCAGAGGCATGATGGTAAAATTTCTGAATTGAAACAGACATTGGGAGGCTTTCATTGCTACTCCTTTAAATTTCAGTATGATGCTGTGTTAATTCAGTGATGCTGTAACATGCTATAACATTTTGCAAATGTAAGGTAAATCCCTGCTGTGACAGCTGTGTTGCTATTAATACATCATAATTCTGACAGAAGTGACTTTTTATCATCATATTATGTATATATATTGTAACTTTCATCTTGTTAATGTAAAATCAGGCATAGCTACAAGTTGCACTAATAAAAGCAGGTAGTCTTCACACATTCAAATTCTGCTTGAGCATGTCATTTGGAGAAGTCATCTCATAGAGGATGTTCACAGAGGGAGGAGGACCCGTGTTCATTGGTCTTTTCCGATCGTTTTAGTGGAGATTTGTTGTCATTATCTGCTGGCTGTTATTATGAAAACAGATTTTTCCATTTCTCTGAATGCTGGGAGTTGCGACCCTCTAATACGACTTTTAGAGCCAAATATAGATTTGGCTTTGAAACGTAAGGTCACAACCTCACCTTAAATGTCACTCAGCAGTTAAGAATTGAAGAGAACTCAGTGAGTTTTAAGAATTTAAGGACTGAGTTGAACTTTTGGAAATGTTCAATTTTAAAAATTTGATTTGGTGTTTTATTAAATAAACTTTACTTGCAACTTTATGTCTTTTCAGGCCAGTTCTCCCATTGGATCATCAGTTGGGCGAAGAAGTCTGGTGAGTTGTTCCTTGGGTTTTACACCTTAGATGGATGCCGTTAGGGTGAACTTGCCAATAAAAATGACCGTGGCTCAGGGGGTTGGGAAGCGTATCTGTAACTGGAAGGTCGCCGGTTCGATCCCCAGGCTCTCTGTCCTGGTCGTTGTGTCCTTGGGCAAGATACCCTACTGCGTACTGGTGTTGGCCAGAGGGGCCGATGGCACGATATGTCAGTCTGCCCCAGGGCAGCTGTGGCTACAACCGTAGCTTGCCTCCAAGCTCCACCAGTGTGTGAATGTGAGAGTGAATGAATAGTGGCATTGTAAAGCGCTTTGGGTGCCTTGAAAAGTGCTGTATAAATCCAAACCATTATTATTAAAAGTTACATTGATTATCATTTGCATTTGATTATCACTATATCATAAGTGAAAGAAGATAACAGGTTCATTCTTGGATCAGCAGAACACTCCAAGAGGATTGAGTGTAACACAATGACCTTGTGGTTTTACTTTATATACATACAAAGCAGAGAGGAGACACTATATAAACCAAGGTTTATCTGCTGTGCAGCATTGATGATGTCACAGCGATAATCTCATGATGACAGAGTGGCGGCACTGTCGATAGATGCTCGATCACAAATTACAGTTGTTTGACACAGCAGAAGGGCATCAGCATTTATCAGACATGGTGTGAAGCTGGGCAGCAGGAGCTCAGCTTCTACACTGTCTTTCATTCAGTCACTACTGATTAAATAGCAGAGGACACTAAGGGAGAGCTCATGCAGTCTGAAAACGAACAGGCACCTTGGTTTTTCAACAATCAGGTAGGCTACAGCTCATGACGCCAGGCATTTATGTTGATGATGTGAACTGTTTTATTGATGTGAAGTTTCTCTCTGCTGAAAACCCAAGTTTGCTGCATGTTTAACAAGGGAAAAAGTGTTTGGTTAGCGAAGAGATTTTTCAGTGTGTCCAGAATCAGTGGAAAAGCCCGATTAAAAACTGGCAAGTGCAACATTTTTTGCAGCTGGGGGATGGATGCAGACCTAAAGTCTGCCAAAAATAAGGGGTCAGAGCTGCAAAACACCTTACGTAGCAGCTCTGGTTAAAAAGTGATTTGGCGCTAATGTGTCCTCTTACAGGATGTTGAAGTTCGAAGCAGAAACATTTAAGGATTACAGTACATTTTGTGCCACATGAAAGCCTGTGCGGTTAATGATATCGCTGCCACTGATGGATTCAAAATTGCCACAGCCATCTGTAGGGATCAGATCCAAGTATGTGCCACATCCTGTGATATCACTTCAGCTGTGTGGTGTGCCAGCAGCCTTTAACATGATTTTACTGGGTGGATGCTGATCATTAGTCTTGAAAGTAGCTGTCTTTGTGCGTGCATTGGGTGTGGTTTCTGGAAAGTAATCAGACTACTATACAACATTGTAACTATTTTTGTTTTTTTAATATTTGCATCTGTTCTTAAGAGCTAAATGCTTCAGGTGTAAAATGTGCTTATAGGAACCAGTCAGTTTATAACTGAAATTGAAGTGATAACAATAGTAATAATATGAATAATAACCTTTAGTTATATAGGACTTTTTAACCTTATTTTACAAGGTGCTTCACATAAGAAACAAAGCAAGCTCAAATAGCCACCTTTAAAACTTCAGATTGTCACATTGACACAGTATTTATTGATCAGATCTTTTTCTCATGTGAGCCCAGCTTCCTTAAAAGGTGACAACAGTATATCAGTGGTTTTTGTGTTCATAGTTTAGCACCCTTTTTAGTCAGTAAACCCATACAAACCATACAAAATAGAGGTTATAGACACATCATAGTGCACTGCTTCAGTGTATACAACATTCCTACAATGAATAACATATATTGCCATTTATCATTAACATGATGCACATTAATACCATCTCACAGACTAATGTGGCTGGTGTTTTAGTAATAAATGCCGGCTTTTAATCTGAGCAGGATGTTGATCCGTAGCTGTGCATTTGTAGACAGATTAACAGCATCAGCCTCATGGCTTGGCATGCCCATGTGGCACTGCAGCTGTAAACAGCAGTGCCCTTCATTATCGTAATGCTCTGACGGTCTACTGGAGGTTAAGATGGCTCACGGAAAAAGCTGGTATTAAGCTTTCAAGACAAAAATATTGACTGTGTTAATATTGGTGGTTTTTTTTTTAAATCAAGAGATTCAAAGCATGTAAAGGAGTTTCAATCTTTTGGTCAATACTGTGACAGGACTAAGAAACACCAACGTAGCAAAGTGCCTACTTCTGATAAGTCAGCATATTTAAATATCAGACCCATGAATGGCAGTGAAATTGTTGCATTCCTCATTATTTTATGTATAAATGTATTTTTTTTAGTGCTTCAATCAAAAAAAAAAATGCTTTAAAGAAATCTGTCTATTTAGATTTTAGTTTAATGTGTCTAAGCCCACTGAATGAATAACCTGCAAAAAAACCTTTGTGCTAAACTTTGGCCTTTATGCTTATAAACACAATAATTATTGAGTTTTTAGGGTGTTGTAGACTTCTGTTACCTGTTACGTGGCTCTATTGATTCTGGTATTTTTTGTTAAGATACCCATTCTTGTTGTAGTTTCTGGATGAACGAGTTTGAGAAATGTAACAATCTTTTAAGTGCAAATTCATTTTTTTAAGATTCATTATAATACTTCACAGATTTGTGCATGTATTTAGTTTATTTGGCACATTGACACATGTCAGGAAATATGTGTATTGCCAACTTCCGGTACAAATCTGCATGAAGCACAGGGACAGAAATACCGTTTTATCTCTCCACCCACCATGAAGCTGGAGTGAGCGGGCTTTGTGTTTTGTTGTAGTCAGTGACCTCAGCCTACTCTACAGCAAACTTGCCCTTCCTGTCCTGCGCCTTGTTTATGCTGTACTGTGGTTATGCATCCATCAGATGAGCACACAGAGTTCAGCTGTAAGTGCTCATGCTGTTGGTGTTCATCTGTGTAATCCTTCAAAGCTTTGAATTTTTTTATAAATCCAAATTCAAATAATATTTTTTAAAGAAAAGGTAAAAGCACTGGGTTTCTATCTGTTCTCATATGACAAATAATGATTTTTGAAGGTTTTTTGAATCCCTTTTACCACCTCCTCACTTCCATTATCTTTCACAAGTATTACATAAGCTTTCACACCACAGACTGCCGGTTTTCTCTGAGATCTGAATCTAATCATCTAAATCCATGTCCAGTATGAATGGTTTTAAACCTGCAGGTTAATAAGACAGGAGGATGTAGGAAATGCTCAGTCTTGAAAGGGTCTTAATATGCTATTTTGTGTTTTCTTTCATAATTTTAATATTTAAATTGTTGCTAAGGTTTTTGCTCATGTTAAAAGTTTGAAATAATAATGGATATTCAAGTAATCACAGTGAGGTAAATTCTTGGGTTTCAGACTCCTCTAAATGCTCAGTTGCACCATTTTCTGTTTACATTTAACTCTGTATGATGTCAGGAAGAGGCGATATTCCTTAAACAGTCATCTGAAGCACTCAGCTATGGCAGAAACATCCCCACCCATCTGCTGTTCAAGACTTAAATTTTCAAGTGGCAGCCAACTAAAAGAAAAGCCGGATTGAAGGGAAAGGTGAGGGAGAGTGTAGCTTGATTCAGAGGAGGAGGAACCGAGGGTCAACAGGGAACTATGTAAAGCTACTTTAGTAAGGTATAAGACTAAAAGTGTAATTGAGCATAATTTAATTTTTGAGCAGTCCTTAAGTTACCTAACCTCTTCATTTGTAATTGTTATTGCAGGACTCGGGTTTTTTAAACTTGTATCTACTCATAAAACTGTTCTTGCTGCAATAAAAAACAAACAAACAAATATAACATCTTAACAAAGAGAGGGTAATGTATTTGGAATGTGTGAAGTATTGTTATAAGACATTGAACAACGGATAAACTATGAACTGTAATGTGCTTCGTTAACATAAACAACCAGTTAGGAGGAATGCTTACTTGATCAAATTAAATCAAACAGTGATTCTCCCTTTGAACTCAGTTCCAAGTCACCACAAAGGAGACATCTTGAACAAAAGTAAAACTTTCTTTGTGGGTGGGTAAATTATTGTTCGCATTGTGAGAAGCTTTCTGTTTGGACTAAGATCATACTCTTTCCTTTCCAAGATAAAAAAGTGCAATTAGTTTCCATGGCAGCTGCACCGTTCAGTTGGATAATGTGTTTGTTCATAATGTTCTGCAAGGGAGCACCAGGTCAACAAACATTTTATTTCATGCTATGTTGAGTCGGGATACGCCGGTATATTGCAGGATGATGTTTCTTCCAGTTGTTGGTGTAATACTGTATGAGTGTGCTTTAGAACGATGTTCATAATGCTGAATTTGTATTTGTGCATGCATTTGCGTGTCTAACAGAGAAACGACGATGAAGCGGTGGTGGACAGAGGAGGAACGCGGTCCGAACAGAGAACCAACTTTGAGCAAGAAGATCTTGAAGGTACGTGGATGTACACAATGTGCTGGGAAATACCAAAAGTGTCAAAGAGTGAAAAGGCTTCTGCAGCTGAGACCGCCTACTCTGTCCTCCCAACTGCTGCTTTCCTCTTGACAGCTTTTTTACAGTTAAAAGATAAGAGCAGAGTGGGAGGCAGAAACTGTGGGTGAGCTGAGTTTGCATCAGAAATTTCACAATTGCCCAAAAACACGGACAATCGAAACGAAGACAAAAACTGTGGGATCTCTGGGCCACTAAAGGCCAGGAGCAAGCACCGTCTACATCTGCAGAAACAGATGATCAAAACGTTACAGATTCTCTTTTCTGTGAAAGTGAATTACAATTAGCTGGTTGGAGCTTAAAAATCTATTTTGTTTAGCACATTATCACAGTTATTTTTGACATATATACATTGGTAAACAGGGGTATTCTCTTTTATTTGTGTGTTTTATGTTAAAACAGCACATACATACGTAATGTAGAAGTATTCTTTCAATATATAAATAATAGTAAAAATAATTACACCCTTTCTTTAAATATACATTTCTATGAAACCAAAGTGGAATATAAAATCAAAAATAAACTGAACTGGACAACAGTTTGATGTTACTGTAAAGTGCTTCAGAACAACAATATTCATAACAGAATAGCTTAATTAATTACTTGTGTTTTTCATATATGTAGCATCTAGGAATAGCTTCAACAGTCATTCCAGAGCACACTGTATATACATGCAACCCTGTGTTGTTCTGCAGTGAACTGAGTGGGCTGACTCGAGTACAAACACAGACTCTCTCTATCTCGTTCTCTCCTCTACTGTCTCGCTCTCCATGATTGGTGTTTTATACTTCCACAAGGAGATACAACATTTACTGCATTTACACTTATTTTCAGTGTTTATGCCTGAGAATTTTCAGAAACATTAAAAAAAGGAACCTAAGTAAAATTGATACCTAACTCTGGGGGTGAACCAATGTTGTGTCTACACATAATAGACAACTTAGTAAAGAACCAGTTTGAAATAGTATCTTTAGGCATTTTGTCACAAAAACAAATCAGTTGTTTAAATTTCTTTAGCTGAATCTATAAAAAGTGCCAAAGAGAACAAAGTTTGACATATAAAATAGTGTTTTTGTGCATGATTCCCCAAATACTATTAAAGCTATAAAACATAAAAAACTTGGCATATCTTGGGATAGTGTGCAGTGTTTCTTTAAAAAATCTGAATAAACTGGAGAAATGGAAGACAACAGGGGGAGGCCTAAAAATGATCTAGAGCCGTATCTGAGAATCATGACCAAAAAATGGAGCAAAGACCGACAACAGACCTCAGAGACTGATCTGGCCTTTCAGTTGGTCCATTTAATGTTCAGAAGTGGTCTCACTGGAAGGGTATAGTTGTCAAGAATCCATTCTTAAGGAAGAGAAACAGGCAGAAAAGACCAAGGAATGTTAAATTACACAAGAATTGGTCTTAAAATCAGTGTAACAGGTCTTGTGAATCTGAATTTTTGGTTCAAATCATCATTACTATGTGCAGGGGAGGTCATAATAGGCATCTGTAAAACATGTTGAAGGCACTCTCAAAGTTTAGAGCTACATTTTCAGCCAGTTGAGTTGGGGATCTCATTAAAAATACTGAAATTATAAATGTGGAAAAGTGCTGTCAAAGTCTGCAGACTTTGATCCACCATGCAGCAATATCAGGAAAGCATCTGATTAACAGCATGAAAATGGTCTCAAACGCACTGCCAGTACAGTACAAGCATACCTGGACAGAAAAACACTGTGGAACACCATCAGTCATGGATTGGCCTCCCCAGAGCCTGAACCTCAATATTGCTGAAGCAGTGTAGGATCATCTTGACAGAGAACAGAACCAATGGCAATCAACATTGAAAGAAAAGCTTTGAAATGTCTGTTGAAATACTTCACACTTAAACACCTGGAAGAGTTCTGAGGTGATCTAACCAGTTGCTCTGTTAGATTAAAACAGAGAGGTGATCACGCTTTTGCAGCACAGCACTACATCTATGGAATAATCTACCACTACACTACACATCTGCACTGCTCAGACACATTTAAATCTTTTAAATTAATAAATTAATAAATTAATTAATTTTTTAGCATTTGTGACTTTATTGGATAGTGTAGCAGTGAAAATAGACAGAACACTGGGGAAAGACACACTACGAAGGGCCACGAGTCGGACATGACTTCCTGCGGCTGCACTCGGGACATATACAGTGGGATGCAAAAGTTTGGGCAAACTTGTTAATAGTCATTATTTTCCTGTATAAATCGTTGGTTGTTACAATAAAAATGTCAGTTAAATATATCATATAGGAGACACACACAGTGATATTTGAGAAGTGAAATGAAGTTTATTGGATTTACAGAAAGTGTGCAATAATTATTTATACAAAATCAGGCAGGGGCATAAATTTGGGCACTGTTGTCATTTTATTGATTCCAAAACCTTTAGAACTAATTATTGGAACTCAAATCGGCTTGGTAAGCTCAGTGACCCCTGACCTACATACACAGGTGAATCCAATAATGAGAAAGAGTATTTAAGGGGGTCAATTGTAAGTTTCCCTGCTCTTTTAATTTTCTCTGAATAGTAGCAACATGGGGGTTTCAAAACAACTCTCAAATGACCTGAAGACAAAGATTGTTCACCATCATGGTTTAGGGGAAGGATACAGAAAGCTGTCTCAGAGATTTAAGCTGTCTGTTTCCACAGTTAGGAATATATTGAGAAAATGGAAGACCACAGGCTCAGTTCAAGTTAAGGCTCGAAGTGGCAGACCAAGAAAAATCTCAGATAGACAGAAGCGACGAATGGTGAGAACAGTCAGAGTCAACCCACAGACCAGCACCAAAGACCTACAACATCATCTTGCAGCAGATGGAGTCACTGTGCATCGTTCAACCATTCAGCGCACTTTACACAAGGAGATGCTGTATGCGAGAGTGATGCAGAGGAAGCCTTTTCTCCGCCCACAGCACAAACTGAGCCGCTTGAGGTATGCTAAAGCACATTTGGACAAGTCAGCTTTATTCTGGAATAAGGTGCTGTGGACTGATGAAGCGAAAATTGAGTTATTTGGGCATAACAAGGGGCGTTATGCATGGAGGAAAAAGACCACAGCATTCCAAGAAAAACACCTGCTACCTACAGTAAAATATGGTGGTGGTTCCATCATGCTGTGGGGCTGTGTGGCCAGTGCAGGGACTGGGAATCTTGTCAAAGTTGAGGGACACATGGATTCCACTCAGTATCAGCAGATTCTGGAGACCAATGTCCAGGAATCAGTGACAAAGCTGAAGCTGCGCTGGGTCTGGATCTTTCAACAAGACAACGACCTGAAACACTGCTCAAAATCCACTAAGGCATTCATGCAGAGGAACAAGTACAACGTTCTGGAATGGCCATCTCAGTCCCCAGACCTGAATATTACTGAAGATCTGTGGTGTGAGTTAAAGAGAGCTGTCCATGCTCGGAAGCCATCCAACCTGAATGAACCGGAGATGTTTTGTAAATAAGAAAGGTCCAAAATACCTTCAACCACAATCCAGACTCTCATTGGAAACTACAGGAAGCGTAGGTTGTAATTTCTGCAAAAGGCGGATCTACCAAATATTTCTTTTTTTGTGGTGCCCAAATTTATGCACCTGCCTGATTTTGTTTAAATAATTATTGCACACTTTCTGTAAATCCAATAAACTTAGTTTCACTTCTCAAATATCACTGTGTGTGTCTCCTATATGATATATTTAATGGACATTTTTTAATGTAACAACCAACAATTTATACAGGAAAATAATGACTATTAACAAGGTTGCCCAAACTTTTGCATCCCACTGTAGCATGCAACCTGCTCACCCACTGAACTAAACTGGCACCCACATGTAAATCTTATTATTGTTTTAATTTATTATCTTTTGTATATATTGGATTTCACCAACTTAAAAAAAAAGTGCTATATAAATACATTTGACCTACAGGTAGCCGGATGAACTATTCCTGAAGACTATTTAAATAAAATACAACAAAGGTGGCTGTAAAATGACTGAACTTCAAGCTTGTTAGAAATAAAATTCTGTTTTTGTTTTATATACTGTCCATTTTTCATCATTATTATTATTATTTATTTATTTATTTATTTATTTATTTATTTATTTATTTATTTTTAATGTAACCCTTGTTTCTTCTTCCTTTGTTTAACTAAGAAAATTGGCAACCTGGCAAATTGTTTCCATAATGAACATGTAGCTGAATAATCTTTGACAGTGTAGTTATAATTTTGATGCACATTTTCCCCCCTCAAATCTAAGAAGGGCCTATTATCACTTAAAAATAATCTGATTATATAATCCTGTCTAGTTTGAAATCTGATTATATAACCTGCTACCACTCAGGCTTGGTTAGCATTTAAAAGATAAAAAAGAAAGCAGACATGAATCAACAGTGAGGCATCACAAATTCACAGAGGGCCCAGTATCACCAGGTATTACCTCATTACTAGGTAACTGCAAGAAAACATATAACACAAAGTCAGAAAGTTATAGAAATACATTTACCTGATTCAGAAGACTCTCATACTACCTCATGCTCTCTGTGTTCCCTGATAATTCACTGTAAGTAACAAATATATAAACAAAATAATAATAACGACAGCCTAACACTTCTTCTTAAAGTATTCTCAGTTATATAATTAATGCCATTTAAATAATTTTTACTATTTATTTTTGTTATTGTTTTGCAAAGTTACAATTAATTTTTGCATTTTACAAAATGAAAGTGAAAAAGGCAAAACCTGCAGCTTTTATCCAAAATACAGTCTACATTATTGTTTGACTAACTTGAAATGGGCACTCCACCCTTTTCCAACTGAGAACCATTGCCTCAGACATCGACTCAGGTGCTAATTCTCAACCCATCTGCTTCACACCCAGCTTCAAATCACGCCAGTGCAAGCTGGAAGTCATCACTCATTGAAGTCAACAAAACCAGATCCTTAGGCCGCCAAACCTTTAACCCTCCACGCCTCGACTCAATGCAAACCAAAATCTTACTGCAGTTATACAGATACTAGAAACCACTAAAAACAGGTGAAGCTAATCAGACACAAGATTCAGTTCTAGCACTCAGTTTGCCTCCTGCTATGATCAGGGCATGCTGACATGTTACAGGAGGAGCAAACAGTCGATACCTTCCCATCTGTCATTAAGGAGTAAAGGGAATACATTTTTCCAGTAGACCTGGAAAAAATATATACTAAAGCAGAAGCAGAAGAAATAAGAAGTAACAGGCATACAGTATACTTGCTTTAATATTCACAACTCTGTTTAAGCTAATTTGAACACAGATTCATTCTGGTTCATGTATCATTAATGACTTAACTGCTTGTCGAGTTAGGTAACGTTTTTATGTACCAAGTATGACATTAGCGCATTACATAATAGTTACACAGAAATCTGCTGGCGCCTGAAGAGATCACGATGAACTGGGCTGAAATAATAATTAATAATACATCAGATAAAGAAGGCTTTTCCATTTAAGTGTCACTGGATTATTGTGGTTTTTCTGCAATCTGTGGATGAAAAGAACTATCTGCTGTTAAATATCTGATGACTAAATGAGCAAAAAGGTCAAAGCAAAATAATCTTCTCAAACCACAGTTTCTTTTTAAAAAATGTTAAACACAAACAGACACTGCTGATTACAGTTTAACACCAATGTAGTGATTGTGTCCAATCTGTGGAAGTGCGTCTGGTTGTGCTGGGAAGTGTAACTGAACTTTTTTTTTTTTTTAGTATTCTGGTAGTCAACCGGCTGTGTGCAGGCAGGAGAAGGACCCAAAAGCAAACTGTTGGAAACAGGGCTTAAACTCAAAATACAGCTTTATTTGCTGAGTGGGAAAAAGGCAATACACAACAATACAAAATGTCTGTGAAGGTTCTTTGCAAGCTCCTTTGACAACAATACAAAACTAAACCGGGAAATACTAATTCACACAGAAAACACAGTGAGGTCACACAGCTATGAGGGAGGACACAACACAGCACTGAGGGAGACTCTGACATGAATACACAGAAAGATAAAGAGGGACGTGGGAGCACACGGGGAACACAGCTGACACGAATAATCATAGCGAGACAGGGGAAGCTATACTGAACAGAATGAACATGAAAACATGGGACCTTCACGATAAAACACGAAAGATGATGTGGGAGTGGAGGAGAGGCAGACGAGAGGGAGCGAGGGAACACGAGGGAACACGAGGGAGAGCACAGACGTGACGGGCTGGGGAAACATGATGGAATAAAACACAATGAGGGGAAACAAAACACAAGGACTCAGACAACTCAAAACATCAGACTGTAAACTATTTAGGATGGAAGCCACGAGTCGCCGTTGACCTTTTTGGTGCTTCATTTTTCATTTTTCAGGCTTGGAAGTTGCCCCTTGCTGACCCCGAGTTAATGCTCAGTGTGGTCTGGCGGCAGTAGCCATTACGTGATTACATCTTATCTGTCTGAGCCATGTGTTCGAATAAAATAAAAATACGCAGGATGAATGGATTAACACACAGAAGTAGCATTTAACCCGGGCAGAGTGAGTGTATTTTATAGTCTTTAATCATGTTTGTCCCCAGGTCACAGGACTCTCTACATTGGGGTCCACGTCCCTTTGGGCAGTACCAGACACCGCAGCCATCGCCGGCACCGCCACCATGGAAACAAGTACAGCAGGAGGCGAAGCAAGGAGCGAGTCCGCACCTTGGTGGAGGGTAGAGAGTCTCCGATTTATGGTACAGACATTATTGTTTTAAAGCAGCTAGTTATTACTTTGTAATAACCATAGGATCTTGGCTACAGTTAATCTCAGTTTGTACCAATTATTTGAATCCACTGCGTTTCTAGATACTCCGTCCCAAAGAGTGCAGTTCTTGCTGGGTACAGAGGATGATGATGAGGAGCACATTCCTCATGATCTCTTCACGGAGATGGATGAGATCTGTGTGAGGGAAGGAGAGGATTCGGAGTGGAGGGAAAGTGCCAGGTACTGTCAACATGGACACATTATCTACAAGGTCCTCGCTCAAAGCTCTGATTAAAAATATCCACTTACACTGATGTTTTTGTGTTCACTAAATTAAGTAACTGCAATTCATAGCTGCAATTGTGGCGCATTTTTAAATTCATTTATGTCTGCAATGGTTGTTGATGTTAAGATGTCTTTTCCTGTATGTATCAAAGATTATGGATCGCTGTTGACATGGTAAATCTGACATGTTATTTAAAGAGATATACACTAAAGAAAAGCAGTAAAGAAGGAGACTAAAAAAGTACATTTTAGAGAGAAATATATGACTTATACGTGAGCAGAGAGGGACCTAGAATGAATAAGTGTTGTTACTGCAGCTAGAACAGATGGCCTGCCAGTTTGTGGTCTGTTGGCCTCTCCTGACAGGAACTCAAATTCCTGTTGCAGGTGGCTGAAGTTTGAGGAGGATGTTGAGGATGGAGGGGAACGATGGAGCAAGCCCTACGTAGCAACGCTGTCTCTTCACAGTTTGTTTGAGCTGCGCTGCTGCATTATCAACAGCACCGTGCTGCTCGATATGAGGGCAAGTACCATTGAAGAGATTGCAGGTAATGACTTGAATTCTTTTTTCAAGAAATTTTTCTTTTTGGGAAAATTTGTAACTATTTTCAATGTATAAATATGGGTTTATTAATCATTTGCTCAAGATTTAAGTGTAAGAAACTGAATGCATCAGCTTGCGTTTGTCTATCTTAGACATGGTCTTAGACCACCAGGAGTTGTACTCACCACTGGGAGATGAGCTCAGAAAGAAAGTGCGTGAAACACTACTGAAGCAGCACCATCACCAGAACCAGAAGAAGCTGGCTAATCGCCTGCCACTTGTACGTTCCATCGCTGACATTGGCCGGAAAACATCTGAGCTTCATCTGGATAAAAACGGTGAGAAAACCTGAGAGTCTGTCTCCTATAAAATAATATTCTAAAAAGAAAGAATCACTCTTTAGTTAAAGTGGTCACAACATGTTGCCTTATACCAACTGTTGGAAGTGTTCTAGTGTGTATAATTTGTGAATGCGCAATATGTGTATGTGTCTTTAATACATATGGTCTTAACTTGTGCATATTTCCATCTTTTGCTCATTCCTCATTCTGTCCACAATCTGCCCACCCACCTGCCACAGCCCCACTCAAGTGAACAGGTGCTGGTTTATACACTATGCCCTTGCCCCTTTACTAGCTTTTACTCAAAAAACACATTGCAGAGAGGCTTCTTGTGATTTATGTTGGCAACTCTCATGACTGGCAACTCAAAATAGATAATTTTGGTAGACAGAAACAGTTAAGTTAAAGAGAAGATTGAAAAGAAAATGTTTAATAGGCTGTATAAAAAAATGTTAATATTGGTCTTCATGGTGCAAAAACTATTTGATTGAATTTTGGGCTGAATTTAGTAACTGGAAGCTCTATTTTCCACTATCTTTGCCAGCTACATTTTATAAGCTTAAGGTTTGCCAGAATCCCAGATCACTAAATTAGTTACAGAACAAACCAAACTGTTTGTTCAAAGATTTTCTCATTTGAGGGTGTTCTTAGTGTTGTTTTATTTTAACAGGCTGTTTTAAAGCAACAATCTGAGATAAGCTCCACGTCATGTATTGTGAGTGTATTAGACACTATAATTAGTGTTAATTTTTGACCCTGCTGTTTAATGAATACAGAAATTAGGCCAAACCTGTCAGGCAGCTTGGCAGTGATCACGTTGATGAGCATGGATTTTTTTAGACAGCAACACTGCTGAAATTCATTTTTTAAATCAATAATTGCTCCAGAAAGTTGTACTTATCTCTGTGTGATCATCCTCATTTGCCTTTATTTAATGAAATTAATCAGCTACTAAGTGCAGGTGACCACGGAGTGTAATGAAACTAGTTACAAAGCAGTTCACTAATAGATATCCAACTGAACAATAAAACAGAAGTAATTCAGTTTTTAACAATTTATTGAATAATTAATATTTGCATTCAAATACTTCATCATTTACTAAGTTTTGTTCAGATTTTATGTTTTCAGTTAAAGTATAAACTCAGATGGTCGCCATCATTAGCTGTTCAGTTTTTCGTTAACATGTGGCAGCAACAGACATGATTGATATGTTGAAGTTCAAAACAAGCATCAGAATGAAAGAGAAAGACAATTTAAGTGACTTTGAATGTGACAATAATAAGATTGATACCAGATGGGCTGGTCTGAGTGTTTCTGAAACTGCTGATGTACTGGGATTTTCCCACACAAATATCTAACGCGTTTACAGAGTGTGAAAGAGAGAAAATATCCATATCCTGTCTTCTTGTTGAGCTGCTCTGAGTTGCTCTGAAGGCAACAGTAAGTCAAATGATCACTTGTTACAACCTGGCTATGCAGAAGAGCATGTCTGAATACAAAAAATATGTCAGCCTTTGAAGCAGATAAACTGCAGCAGCAGAAAACCACATCGAGTGCCACTCCTGTTAACTAAAAACAGGAAGGCAGGGCCAGAATTTACACATACTCACCAAAATTAGACAATAGAAGACTGGAAAATGGTCTGCTATGAGGACTTTGACCTCTGCTGCGACATACAGATGGCAGAGGGAGAATTTGACATTAACAATATGAAAGCATAGCTCCATCCTGCTTTTTATCAGTGGTTCAAAAATCGCTGCTGTTGGTGGTGTAATGGTGTGGAGGATATTTTCTGGTTTTGACTTTATGCCCTCTGGTATCTGGTCATTGTTAAATGCCACAGACTACCTGAGTATTTTTACTGACTGTGTCCATTGTCTTTATGACATGGTGACGGTTGGTCACTATGTCACCAAGCTAAAATAAACTTAAATTGGGTTCTTGAAGATGACACAGAGTTTATTGTACTCAAATGACCTCCACAGTCACTAATCACAATCCAACAGAGAACCTTTTTGAATGTGGTGGAACAGGAGAATCTCATCATGGATGGACAACAGTAACTGTGTGACGATATCATATCAATATCAACCAAAATCTTGGCATAATATTACCAGCAATTTGTTGAAACTATGCCACGA